CGGGTGTAAATCTGTGGATTCAGTAAATTTCGGGTGTAAATCCCAGATTTCGGGTGTAAAATCCCAGATTTTGGGTAGAACTGTGGATTTCGGGTGTAAAATCCCATATTTCGGGTGTAAAATCCCGGATTTCGGGTGTAAATTCCCAGATTTTGGGTGCAAACCCCCAGATTTTGGGTGTAAAATCCCAGATTTTGGGTGCAAACCCCGGGATTTCGGGTGTAAATCTGTGGATTCAGTAAATTTCGGGTGTAAAATCCCAGATTTCAGGTGTAAAATCCCGGATTTCGGGTGTAAATCCCCGGATTTCGGGTGCAAATCTGTGGATTCAGTGAATTTCAGGTGTAAATCCCAGGATTTTGGGTGTAAATCTGTGGATTCAGTGAATTTCAGGTGTAAATTCCCGGATTTTGGGTGTAAATCCCAGATTTTGGGTGCAAATCCCGGGATTTTGGGTGCAAATCCCCGGATTTCGGGTGTAAATCCCAGATTTTGGGTGCAAACCCCGGGATTTCGGGTGTAAATTCCCGGATTTCGGGTGTAACTGGGTGGATTTTGGGTGTAAAATCCCAGATTTTGGGTGTAAATTCCCGGATTTCGGGTGTAAATCCCCAGATTTCGGGTGTAAATCCCCGGATTTTGGGTGTAAATCCCCGGATTTCGGGTGTAAATTCCCAGATTTTGGGTGTAAATCCCCGGGATTTTGGGTGTAAATCCCCGGATTTTGGGTAGAACTGTGGATTTCGGGTGTAAATTCCCAGATTTCGGGTGGAAACCCCGGGATTTCGGCTCTCACCGGTGCTGTTCTCCCCTCCGCCCGTCGCCGTCATCCTGGCCACGTGATCCACCCCGATCCTCTCGGCCTCCTCGGTGGCCAGCGTGTAGGGCAGCTCGGCAAACAGCATGGTGGCCTGGGGAAATTCCCAAAAAATCCCAAAATTCCCCAAATTCCCGAAATTCCCGGCCCCAAAAACCCCCGGGGGAAAAATTCCGGGGAGAAAAGGGCTCAGAATGGCCAAAAAATGATAAAAATCCATAAAAATGGGGAGGGGTTTGGGATAAAATGGTCCAAAAATGGAAAAATTTGGATCCAAAATTCCCCAAATTCCCCCAAATTCCCAAATTCCCAAAATTCCCGACCCCAAAAACCCCCGGGGGGAAAAATCCCGGGGAGAAAAGGGCTCAGAATGGCCAAAAAATGATAAAAATGGGGAGGGGTTTGGGATAAAATGGTCCAAAAATGGGAGAATTGGACACAAAATTCCCCAAAATTCCAAAATTCCCAAAATTCCCGGCCCAAAAATTCCCAGGGGGAAAATCCCGGGGAGAAAAGGGCTCAGAATGGCCAAAAAATGATAAAAATCTATAAAAATGGGGATGGGTTTGGGATAAAATGGTCCAAAAATGGAAAAATTTGGATCCAAAATTCCCCAAATTCCCAAAATTCCCGAAATTCCCCAAAATTCCCGACCCCAAAAACCCCCG